TGCCCAACTTCAAAAAATGCTTAATCATTTAATCACTATCTACGGAGGAAGCATCACCACTATTTTATGTATCCAAAACAACGTGAGAGAGAGATGTTAGTTTGCATTGACGCAATAAAAATGGGGACTTGATATGGTCCCAAGGAAATAAAAATTGAACACAGAGTAAAAGTGACATGCACAGAAAGTCTTCAAACCATTTGCTGCTAAGTCAAGGGATTTAGTTAAACTCTGTACAAGGTACACATGAAAGCAGGATATTCAACATCTACCCAGATTACCAGCTAGAAAAGGGCTGAGGAATAAATCAAAGTCGAGCACAAGATTTTTTTCATAAAGCCATGTAGGACATTTTTAGGTCTGAAAAATATGAAATAAGATGTGCTATTCTGCTACTAAGTACCTATTTGACGGATATACTAGTATAATTTCAAACTATCTGGAGCCTTCCTTGGTTGTTTAATAAGACGGAGATTCCAACTACTGAGGTTCCTTTAAAGTAAAAATTTATATTCTAAAACATATGACTCATTATCTATGCCTATACTTCTAAGAAATATTTTAACCGTTTGACTGCTAAGGAGCGCTATCGCGCTCTTCTTATTTAAAACAAATTTATGTAAACAATTGGTATTTTTTAATTTTTGTTGTTGCAAAGCAATACAAGTGAGTTTATTGTATAAAAAGTGTTTTACATTTTTTCCCATACACGCGCAATTAGTGCCGCAGTTTTGGCATGTGTCCGAAAAAATACGTCAGCAGCCAAACGGTTAAAAACCATAATAAGCACCTGTATTTGTAATTAGTCTAAACGCTACTGGGGGGGTTGGGGGGGGGGGGGGAGCTGGAGTCAGTGGGTAACCTTGGGCAACTTGCTTAAGAGAAATGCATCCCTATAAAACTGACCCCCAAAGGAAGCAACAACTGTTCCTCCATCATGATACCCAATCCATCCCACCCCATCCTTATCTTGTTTTATCTTTTAAATAAGCTTGTTTTAAAAAAAAACAAACAAAAAACCCCACAATTTACTACACATATTTTCTTGTTACTTAATAAACTATCTCATTTTATTTTGTATAAAAGCAAACCCTCTATTCAAAATCTCTTACCTGATAAAACAAGAGATGTATTTTCTTAACAAGAAGTAGAGGCCATGTCAATCCTGTGGGCAACCAATTAAAACCAACTTTTAGACTGCAATAGAGAATAAATGGAGGCAAAAATCAATGCAGGAAACACAAAACACGCACAGGCCACACTGAACTGTACATTACCAAGGTAAATCTGAAACCAGAGTACTTCATTAGAATGTATATAAAAAGAAGGAGAAGGAGGAGAAGACATATACCAAAATTCTATACATGCTTATTACCCAGTATTGCTTTCAAATTAGAGTATTTCTCAAAACATTATATATTTATATACATCAAGAATGTGCCACAAATTAGCCCAAGAATTAAAAACTAAAGCAATCATAAAACTCTCAGCATCACAGCAGGTAAGTGCTTTTATCACCTGATGTTAAAGCAGTCCAGTAAATTCCCTAACACAAGTCCAACTACAAACTATTTTCTCAGGTTTGCACCATATTTTTTATGAAAAAGCACAATAACAAGTTTGTACAATAACAGTTCCAGGACAATTAATTCAAGGGTACCAATGAAAATTATTGCAATAACTCTTTCAATGTATTTTCCTTTGCACCAAAATAGCATCAAACATCAAAAATATAGAGACAGATCTGACTATAAGAACTAATTCTTAGTTAAAACCACTGGGGTTCAAAATATTAAGGAAAAGTGCTTTTTCTTTTAACATCCTAACAGTCCCAAGAAACTTATTTTTAAAAATCCCTAAAAACACCTGGCATATTAAGAGTACTTCCCAAAGTAAAAACAGATCACTCATCTTTCACTGGAATTTTTCCCAAACTGGTCAAGTAATGAACAATTCACAAGCAATATAAATGACCAAATGATTCCACAACTAGACTCAAAAGGTCATTTTTAATTCAAAGAAATAAAGTAGAAGAAAACTGTCACTGTCAGGTATTAAGATTACTATTACAGTGATGCTCATTTTTAACTACTATCTTTCAAGATCAAGATACCATCAGTGAACTTAATATCATCACAAAAGCAAAACATTTAAAAATTTTAGTGTTACTCCCAACTTTTCTAAAGGGGTTCCAATTAAAAAGATGTGTGGGCCCAGGACATGTGCCCTATGGGTAAGGGAAACAGATTCCTTTGTCTCTTCCTTTCCAGACCTGAGAAAGCACCTTATGTCCATCTGGAAAGGAACATACCAAGTTTATTCCCAGAAATGTTTACAGAATTGCCAGAAATAACTGTAAAAAGAAGGAAACATCTCATTCCACAAGGAAAAGTTCAAAGGCCCAGGTGAACTTATCAGACACCTAGTTCAAGATTTATGTGTTTAATTTAAAGTGCAAAATCAATCTTAAAAATAAAAAAGATTAAAAAAATAAAAAACAAAATAATCTAGACAAATTTGTGAATTTCAGCAAAGGGGAAAGTCCATTTCATCCCATACCAAAGAAAAGTACACAGAAAGTTCAGGCCAGAAGCCAGACTTTCACTACTCTTGCTGTTGCACTTCCACCTTCATATAGGCAAGGTATATAAACTGAGAACTAAAGTACTTTTGCTTTCCACACCTAATTTTGTAAAGAACACAATAATTTAATAAAGGCATCATTGTTTTTCAGGAAACCTACTCATTCCTGTGTTCTAAATGTCAACCAGCAATTGAATGGAGGATATCAAAATGAAAAATCCACTCCAATCACCTTAAACTTTGGTTAATTTTAGCAGGATAAGACAAACAATTCTATGCAAATACAGTTTTTACCTATGCCTAGAGTGTAAGTGTAGGCAAGGAGGAAATGGGCCTGATCTACCATTAAGCCCACTGTTACATTTCAGATCTAAAGCTTATTTAGGTCAGGCCTGCGTGGCTCAGTGGTTGAGCATCGACCTATGAACTGGGAGGTCACAGTTCAATTCCCAGTCAGGGCATACATCAGGTTACTGGCTCAATCTCCAGCTGGGGACCTGCAGGAAGCAGCTGATCAGTGATTCTCATCATTGATGTTTCTATCCCCCTCTCTCTCTCCCTCTCCCTTTCTCTCTGAAATCAATAAAAAAAAAAAAATTTTTTTAAAAAATAAAAAAAGAAGCTTTAGTAAATTTTTCCACTTTATGTTAAGGAATTAGTCTTAACAGTGGTCTTGCTTCAGTTTTACAAATACCACATACATAAATGCGCAAATTACAAATATCCGCTACAGAAATTATTATGACAGGGCAGATTCTCTTTATTTACTAATCATTCCAATCACTTGGAATTTCAGAATAAAATGTCTGACAACAATCCTCTTTTATCAGGAAGCTAAAGTACAAACTTAACCATTTCCACTCTTCATCTGGTAATAAACATCTAAAAGTGAATTTTAACTTTCTTCAATAATTACTCTTTAAACAACAAGAACCAGAGTACAGCAGAGCTAAATTCTTTAGATTTAAAAGAATCAAAAACCGGTACCCCTCAAATGTTCACCTGAGAGATGAGCAACAGAGAAAACCAATCATAATGGGCATAACACTATAAGCAGCATAATCAAATTATGATAGGTATTACCAAAAAAGAAAACAAAACCAACCAAATAAAAATACAGCTTCATCCACTTGATTTTGTTCCCATCTTCAAATGGATCACATTTCAGATTCTGGGATCAATCTTAATGAAACAATTCTGATACGGAGGGAGATGTATCCCTTTGATAGCACACTTTCCCATTAGCCTTCAGTCAGTATTCAAAGGCAACAAATCAAAAGACATTTCTAAATAAGATATTTATTCCTCCTGCAAAAAGACTAATATTAAATTTTTCAATACCCCTTCAAATGCCAACAAAAATGTTCATTATCTTACTAGAGTTAAACTTCAAAGTAACTATTATTTCTAACCTAGCAGACCTCATTCACCATAACTATTGTTATTAACATCTTAAAAGCTGGCTTTAAATTTAATTAACTAACTCTGCAAACCAAAAGGTATATGGGTGGTGATAGTAAAATCAGATAACTATAAATCAGATTAAGTTATTTTTCTGCATAGGTGACCTGAAAGATTTAACAATATTCATTTATCCCAAGGACATTTATTAAGTACGTTTTGGGGAAGGATATCTAAAATCATCTTCTGTGCAACCACTACTGACAGAAGTTCTTCCTCTAACATCTACAAAAAATATTCATCTAAACTGAATGATGGAGTGGGTCTTTACAAAATGGAATAAAAACAGTATGAAATTGTCACTGGATTTCAACTCCTAGAACACATTGGCTCACAAAATCAAGTTTCATATCTAAAACTTGTACAAAGAGCCCCCAAATTCTCAATATGCAACGAAACATTTGGCATGTCAAATAAAGTGAAAACCTGAAGTATACTGCTATTAGCACATAACAATATGTTCCAAGTAACTACCACAATGGTTTCTCAAGTTTCATTTTCACCTAACAGATATGAACATAAGAAAAATTGAAATTATGCATTACAACCCATAAACAAAATTATCAAATATTTGATCGAGCATATAAAGGTGATATAAAAATGCACATTCCGTTTTGTTCAAAATAACATTCCAGCAATAAAAGGCCATCCTCCACTTTTACATAAACACACTAAACATTTCATTTTCTTCAAAAGTTACCATAAAATTATTTTAACCACCTGTAACACTTCTTCCCAACTTCTTTTTAAGATTCTTGGAAAATAATTTAACATAATTACTTTCCACAACGTCCAGAAATTCTCCATTCTATCAAAGCTACCAAATTTCAAAAACAAGTACAACCAGTCTTGTATTATATTTCTATAATTAAAACAAAATAAGATCGACCTATATGTCCAGACTTGTAGAATTTTTCTCAACTGAAAATGCTCTGAAACGCATTAACAATTTAAACTATACAACGAAGTCCAAGGCAATTCATGTTCCTAATACTGCATTTGCCAAAAACGGCACCACTTTAAACCAGTCAAGCAAGGAGCTCTAAGAGAAATATTCCCGTCACATGTCTCCCCAACAAAACTTCAATTTGCAATTTTTTTTCCAGTTATACTGAAGAGCATCACCCTAATCTTTAATACAGAATGGTTCCTGCCAACTACCCCAATTTACATCAGGTCATGTCTGGGGATCCTGGAGCCAAAGAAGGATTTCAGAGTCCAGAAATCTCTCCTACAGAGCCTGCAACTCTCAGTATACAACCACCCCCAGCATACGGCTTAGCGCTGAATAACCCAGAATAACCCTCACCCAGGACCCTCAGATTTTTCACGATAAGGCACACTTCGGTGGCACACATAAAGCCCATACCATTACGATCTAGCAGTTAAGCCTCTGCACTAGTGTCCACCTTCGTCACTAACCTGCAGAACCTGATTGCTCCTCCCACCCATTTCACGTGGCTGCAAAGCAGCTCGACCAGCCTTCACCAAAGAAAATTCACTCTCCGCCAAAAGCACCCACGTTCCATATCCCACCGGGCCTTCGGTGCTGGCGGCTCTCCAAAGGGATACATACCCTCAAGGCTACCCCGCCCCAACGTCGGGCTTTGGGAGCACTTCAACTGCAACCCCCTCCACCTCCAGGCCAGGAAATCGGCCAGTTCTGAAACTTCTTCCCTAGACGCCTAGGAAAGCATCGACTGCAGCTTCCTCCCCACAGGTGTGTCCTCCTTAGAGTCCCTTTTTCTGGTAAGCCACGGGGCCTCCTTTCCACTTCGGGCGGAGGGAGTGTCCTCCCCAAATGAGCTCCTCACTGCGGAGCCCAGAAATGTAGTTATAACTCTGCCCCCTTCGGGAGCATGGAAAACCTTGCTCACGCAGGATGTAGGTATGCTTTCACTGCCGCTGGGCCACCCAACTCTGGCCTCCCTCTCAGACCACAGGTCGTCCTCCCTCCAGCCTCGTCTCCCCTTCAGGAAGCAGGCTCATCGTCTCTTGCGTCCTTCTGGAAGACTCAGGATTCAGGGGTGCAAGTGGCGGGGCGCGGGGGCCTCGCCGACC